TTTGATCCCCAACATCACAAAAACCAAAACAACAACAAAGCCACAAATAAATATGCACACAATGACTATAATCAAAAGGAAAAATAACAAGTGGTAACAAAGATGTAGAAAAAAAGGAGCACTCATACACTGCTTGGTGGAGATACACAAGGGTACAGTCATTTTGGAAGATAGTCTAGCAGTTTTTCAAAAGGTTAAACGTAGAATTACCATACAACCCAGCAATTCCACTATAGGTATATACCCAATAGAAATGAAAACATATTCCATATAAAAAATTTGTACACAAATGTTCACAGCAGCATTATTCATAATAGCCCCAAAGTGGAAACAGCCTAAATATCTATCAACTAAGGAGTGGATAAATAAAATATGTTCTGCCACACAATTGAACATTATTTGGACATAAAAAGGAATAAGTGCTGATAAATGGTACAACATGGATGAATTTTGAAAAAGTTATTCTAAATAAAACTAGTCACAAGACACTATTAATTGTAAGATTTTGTCTTTATGAAATGTCTACAAAAAAGACAAAATCTATAGAGACAGAAAGTAGAGTAGGAGTTGCCTAGAACTGAGTGATCTGGAACAAAATGGGGAGTAACTGCTAACATGTCTGAGGTCTTTTGAGAGGAAAATGAAAATGTTCTAAAACTAATTGTTATGATGGTTGCACAACTCCACGAATATACTAAAAACCTTTCAAGTCAGGTGCAGTGGTGCAGACCTGTAGTCCCAATGTCTTTGGAGACTGAGGCAAGAGAATCACAAATTCAAGGCCAGGCTCTGCAACTTAGTGAGACCCTGTCTCAAAAAAATAAAAAGGACTGGGGCTGTAGCTCAGAGGTAAAGCACCCCTGGGTTCAATCCCCAGTACTGTAAAAACAACAAAAAAATAAACATTCAAGTATACACTCTTGAATGGGTGAATTGTATATTATGTGAATTATTTCTTACTAAAGCTATTTAAAGGAAATTAAAGGGAAGTTTATTTTTATTAACATAATTGTCACACAAAACAAATGGAAAAGGACAGACAAAAAGACCATATATCATATAATTCCATTACAAGGAAATGTTTGAAAAAGGCAAATTTATTTATTTTTTAACTATTTAGTTGTAGATGAACACACAGTATCTTTATTTATTTTTATGTGGTGCTGAGGATTGAACTCAGTGCCTCCCTCCCACTTAGGAGGCAAGCACTTTACCTGAGCTACAGCCTCAGCCCCTGAAAAGGGGAAATTTATAGGGATAGAAAGTAAATTAGAGGTGGCCCCAGGCTGGAGTAAGAATGAGGATTACCTATAAATTTCCCAGAGAGTGACAAGAAGTATTCTAAAATTGGATTTTAGTAATAGTACCACAACTCAGTAAAGTTATTAGAGATCATTAAACTTTACAGTTAAAATGGGTGACTTTAATAAGTTCCTTTGGTTGAGACCCAGACTCATTCGCAAAGAAAGCCATATCCTTTCTCTCCTCTCCTTGCTCATCCTCTAGCCACACCAGTCTCCTCACTATTCCTCAATCAGACACCCTTTGTCCTTAGGGCCTTTGCTCTTGCTGTTCCCTTGGCCTAGAATGCTCTTCCTTCAGATACATACAGAATTTCTTCCTCACCATTCGAGTCTTCATTTAAATCTCTTTCTTCATGAGACTTTCCTTGAACACCTTCCTAAAATCATACGCCTGCCCCTAACCTACACACATTCTTAAATCTCCTTTCCTTAGTTTATTTTTCTCCTTAGTAATTTTCTTTTTTTATTTTGAGACAGAGTCTTGCTAAGTTGCTTAGGGCCTGGCTAATTTGCAGAGGTTGGCCTTGAACTTGGAATCCTCCTTCTCAGCCTTCCCAGTTGCTGAGATTACAGGCATGTGCCACCATGCCTTGCTCTTAGTAATTTTAATTATATGACAACATACTATATTTATTTATTTTATTTGTAGTCCTTCTTTCCCAGTAGGACAAAGCTCTGAATGTATTGATAGTTGTCTGTTGTTAGTTGTTGTATATTCAATGCCTAGAACAGTTCTTAGCACATAGTAAGCCCTTAATAAATTTATTGAGTGAATAAATAATATTTCATAGACTTCTTTCCATATAAGTTTACTTCATTCTTGGGCTGGGGTTGTGGCTCAGTGGTAGAGTGTTTGCCTAGCATGTGTGAGGCCCTGGGTTCGATCCTCAACACCACATAAAAATAAATAAATAAACAAAATAAAGGTATTGTGTCTAACCAAAAAATAAATATTAAAAAGAAAAAAGTTTACTTCATTCTTTTTAATGGCTACATAGTTTCTTCTCCTTCTTCTTCTTCTTTTTTTTTTGGACAGCATTTCCATTTATTTTATAGAACTTTGAGAAAAAAAATAAGATTTATTAGAACCTAAAGAGTTTTCTTAGGAAAGCAATGCTTGCTGAAGGTATTGCCTTTGCTCCAGCCATGATAAGCATCTTTACTCTTGGCAATCCTTGTCAAAGCTCAGAGACAGTGTAACTCCAGATCTCTCCTACTCAGCTGTGAACCTTGGTCCTGGACTGAACGTGATTAGAGGTTGTAGAAATATTAAAAAATAAGAACAATATCCATGAAAGCCATGCTCAGAAGCCAGTCCTCTTTTCTTCAGGAAAACATTTTTTCTATTCACTTGGCTTTTTTGAGGTTCCAGTGTGGAGCTGAGCACTCCACTGCCCTTCCTCCACTCACAAATGTCTGCATAGTTGCATGTATGGCACTTCCAAGCCTCTTCCACATCAACCCCTTGAAGCTCTCGGTGGCCCATCCAGTAAGCCATATAATGCTGTACCTTGCCTCTCGTCTCCTTCTCTTCAAAGGCTTCAATCTCTGTACCTAATGCAGTGGCAGTCTCTTGATGGCTATATTCAATCTTTAGAATATCAATAACTGGGAGGTCAGATAGTGTGAGAGACAAGAAGACCAGTTCCATGAGGTCACCCAAAGACTTCACAGAAAAGCCTCTCTGCCAGGCATGCCGCAGCACTGAAGGCCCCAGTGGCTTGTCTGGACACAATTTTGTGTGGTGGATTAGGATCTCAGGGGTTACTTTCCCTTGCACCATGGCATCAAAGATAAATTTGTATAGCCTAACTTGAAAACAGTCTTTCTTATTTCTGAGCTTCCAGAGGGAGTATGGGGCGCTTACATGTCTTGAGTTCAGCCAGATCCAGTTCCCCTTTGGCTGTATAATGGCTGCATAGTTTCTACTGAATTAATAATTCTATAATTTGTTTGAACAATTCCTTATTACTCGAGGACATTCGGTAGTGAAATTTCTTGTATAATGAGTCAGCCCTTCAACTTAGGAGTCGCCCAACCACTGATTTAAAATATTTTTTCAATTGCACCTGTACTGAACATATACAGACTTTTCCCTTATCACTATTTACTATCTAGTATAACAACTGTTTACATATCACTTACTTGTATTAGGTATTGTAAGTATTCTAGAGATGATTTAACAAATACAGGGGGATATGCATAGATTATAAGCAAATACTATGCCATGTTAATATAAGGGACTTGAGCATCCATAGATTTTGGTATGTGAAGGGGATATTGGAATCAATTCCCTGCAACACTGAGGGACAACTATATATATTTGGGCACTCATCTATTCATTATAAAAAATTCCTAGAAAGAGATTTTGTGAGTCAAATACTATGAACAAAATTTCAATAAATATTCCCAAATTGATCTCCAAAAAGATTACACTAATTTACACTCCTAGTCAATATTATTCAAGAGTTCCTCAATCTGTCATCCACACTAGATGTTATCAACTGGTTTAGTCTTTACCAATCTCATTAGAAATGTTAGCTCATCTATAATTTAATTTTCATTAATTTAGTTAAAAGTGAAATGAGATATATTTTTAATCAAACATTTGTATTTCTATGAGTTGCTTTTATTGGTATTTTAATTGATAGATCAGAGTTCTGGATATTAGGGAAAATCACCTTCTATCTTATAAGCTCCAACTATTTTTCACATTTTTCTTCCATAAATTTTGTTTACAATGCCTCAGATAGTTGGTCAACTTTTAATTTTCAAGGAGTGAAATCAATATTTTCCTTTTTGGATTCTGATTTCATACCATGCTTAAACAGACCTTTCCTATTCCAAGATTTTATATATATATTTTTTCCACTCATGCTTTCACTTGATGCCTTTAAACTTTTTCTTTCTTTTCTTTTTTCCTTCTGTTTCTTTTTTTTAATTGTAAGTGATGCTGGGATTGAATTCAGGACCTCCTGCATGCTACAAAGCACAAACTCTATCACTGAGCTACACCTCCAACCCCAAATATTTATTCTTCATTAAAATTTGTAGTAAATTTGAAATTTATTTTGGTGTAAACAGTACAATAGAAGATTCAGATCCTGCCTGGATCCCAACTGGCCAGACTTGGCCACAGGCCTGCATAAGAAATAAGCTAACTATGTGAAAGGTTACATTAATTTCATGCAATTGCATTAATTAAAAGTTGCATTAATTTCATGCAATTCTATCAAACAGTAAGACATTGCTTATTTCCTGCATGGGCAAGCAATGGTTTCCAATCGGCCGGATCCAGGCACGTCCCGTCACTTGGCTACTAGTACAACTCCACTCATTTATTAAATAGTTCATTCCTCACTGATTCTAAATACCATTTTTATCACATAATTCTCCATATATTTGATCTAAATTTGAACTCATTGATCCATCTATTCCTGCACCAAGACAAAATTTTTAATTTTTCTGTTTTGTTTGAATGAACGTGGGAGTGACAAATCTTTAGAGAATAGAATGAGAAAACAGTAGACTCTCCTCATTCTCTTCAACCCAGGGTTTCCCTTCTCCTGCATCCTAGTTACACCTGCCTATGCCGGCTGCTCTTCCCGGCTCAGCCTCTGGAGGCCGCAGCCGGGAGGGTAGGTCTGAGAACCAGGACCTTCCACGGTCCTGGCGTCACATCCGGTCTCTAGCGGAAGTCTTCTGCTGGCGGACCAGGAAGTAGCTGCAGACTGGGCGATGGGAGTTCAGGAGGCCTTGCTCCGGACGGGACCCGATGCTACTGTGCCCCCGCGGTAGAGCAGACCTGGGTGGCAGGCTCCGGGTCCCGAGGTGAAGAGCTGTGGGGATGACCTGGGACCTTAGAGAGGAGCCTGAGAACCCTTACGGCCTCTTTCCTGATCCTGGCCTCTAAATTGCCTTTGCCAGGCTGCCCCAGAAGCAGGTCCATTTGATATACCGCTCCTCAGAGAACGGCGCGGACCAGGATTTCACCCCCTCACCACCGTCACCAAAGCTGAGGGTAGCCCCGGGCTGGAGGTTCAAGGGCGCCGATTCTGCCTTAACAACAATCTCCTCTCCACCGCTGCAGGGATGGAGGGATCTAAGACGTCTAGCAGCACCATGCAGGTGAGCTTCGTGTGCCAGCGCTGCAGCCAGCCTCTGAAACTGGACACGAGCTTCAAGATCCTGGACCGTGTTACCATCCAAGAGCTCACAGGTCAGCAAGACCGTGGAAAGAGGGTGGTCAAGAACGTGAAAAGTGGGCAACTTTGGAGACATAGGTCTTGTGGTGACAATCTGTAGACTGCCTTAGTCTCGCCACGTGAATCTAGAAAAGTCACATCATCTCTCATCTCTCTGGCTCCCTGTTTTCTCATCGGGAACATAAAAGAGTTCTGACGTTGTGTGCTTTCTGAAACAAAACAAAGGTCCTTATTTTTCTGCTCCTGCTGTCTCAGTGTAAAGGAATATGTATATATAATAATAAATGGCATTTGTTGAGTACTTACTCTACATCTAGTGCATTACATGTATTACTTCACTTATTCCCTTCTGCAACCCTGTGGAGAAGTACCATCATTGCATCATTTTACAGGTGAAGAACTGAGGCTTAGAGAGGTTAAAGTGACTTCCCCGAAGTCCAACACCTGGTAAGTGGATAAATAGAGACTCAAAGTCCCAAAAAGCGAGATGAAGTTAGAGGAGACTGAATAGGCAGTTTAAGCTCATGGGCTCGGAGTCACACTGCTTGTGTTTCAATCCTGGCTGTCATGCAATGAAAGACTCTGTTGTGGTTTTTTTCCACTAGTACTGGAGATTGAACCCAGAGGCACTTTACCACTGAGCTACATCTCCAGCCCTTTTTCTTTTAAGAGGGTCTCAGTAAATTATCTAGGCTGGCTTGGAACTTGCAGTCCTCAACTTCCCCAATTTGGGATTACAGGCATGTGCCACTGTGCCTGACTTTGCAAGTTATTTTACCTCTCTAAACCCTGGGCTTTTTTTTTATCTTTAAAATGTAAAACAGCCTCATAAGTTAGTTGTAAAGATTATACATGACAAAGCACATAAGTACTTAGAAATATGCAAAGCAAGTAGTACTCAATAAATGTTAGATATTATTATTATTACCTCATTTCTCTATTTTGCCAAGTTTTCCTGACTGGGCTGAAACTTGTGATCTTCCTCCCTCAGCCTAGGAGGAGCTGAGGAGCTAAGTCTCAGTAACTACAGGCTTGAGACACCGGACCCTGATCTATACCTCCTCTCACCTCCCATCTGTCTCTTAATATGTTTTTAACACTTTTTTAAAGTTTAATTGTGTGTTGAAATGTACAAATCTTAGCTCTGTGTGTTTGTAAGAGTATGTTGGGTACTAAGGATTCTACTGAAAACCTCTAGCATGCTAGGCAAGCATATTACCACTGAGTTTCACCCTCAGCCCTCTAACTTTTTAAAATTTGGTACTAGAGATTAAATCCAGAGGCAAGTGCCTAAGCTACATTCCCAGTTCTTTTTATTTTTTATTTTGAGACAGATTCTTACTAAGTTGTTGAGAGTCTCACTAGGTTTCCAAGCTGGCCTTGAATTTGTAATCCATCTGCCTCAGCCTCCCAAATCACTGCTATTATAGGCGAGTACCATCATACCCGGCTTCCCAGCCCTTTTAATATTTTATTTTGAGACAAGGTTTCATTAAATTACGCAGACTAGCCTCAGTCTTCCTATCCTCCCTCCTCCTAAGTAGCTGGATTTATAAACATGGACCACCAAGCCTGGTTGTTTTATTTTGGTGTTTTTTATTGTTGTTGGTTTTTTTGTGTGTTTGTGGGTGTGTGTGTGTTGCTGGGAATTGAATCCAGGGCCTTGTTCATGCAAGGCAAGGAGTCTACGAACTGAACTATATCCCCAGCCCTATCGTTTTTTTGATTATGGGGATCAAACCCAGATCTAATGCATTGTATGTTTTACCACTGAGCTATACCTCCAGCATCTACCTTTATTTATTTATTTATTTGTTTGTTTGTTTGTTTGTTAGTTAGTTATAGATGAACATAATACCTTTATTTTATTTATTTATTTTTACGTGGTGCTGAGATCGAACCCAGTGCTAGGCAAGCCTCACATGTGCTAGACAAGCGCTCTACCACTGAGCTACAGCCATTTACCTATATATTTTTTTCAAAACATGGTGTCATTTTTTTAAATACCTTTATTTTGTTTGTTTGTTTATTTATTTTATTTATTTTTATGTGGTGTTCAGTATTGAACCCAGTGCCTCATGTGTGCTAGGCAAAAGCACTCTACCACTGAGCCATAACCCCAGCCCCCTTTACTTACATTTTTTAATTGATATATTTATGTGGTGCCATGTGTTGTTTCAGTTAATGTTCAAATCAGGAAAAGCATGTCTGTCTTCATCAATGTTTATCATTTTTTTAAACATTTATTTTTTAGTTGTAGGTGGACACAGTACCTTTATTTTATTTTTGTGTAGTGCTGAGGATTGAACCCAGTGCCTCACACATGCTAAGCAAGTGCTCTACCTCCGAGCCACAACCCCAGTCCAATATTTATCATTTTTTGTGGCAAAAATATTCAAAATTGTTTCTTCTAACTTTTTTGAGATATAAAGTATATTATTGTTATCTACCATCACTGCACTGTGTGATAGGGTTCTATCTAACTATAACTTAGTTCCTATTGGCTAACCCTTCCTCATCTCTCCAGCTACCTCCCCTCTACTCTTCCCCAGTCTCTAGCAACCACCATTCTTCTCTCAACTTCTATGGAATCAAATTTTTTAGATACCACATATAAGTGAAAACATGCAGTATTTGTCCTTCTGTGTCTGGTTATTTCATTTAACATAATGTCCTCCAGTTACCTTCATGTTGTCACAAATAATAGGATTTCATTCTTTTTTTATGACTTAATAGGATTCTGTAGTGTGTATATTAGCTGTACATTTTTTACAAATGGATACACTTATGTAATTCTAATCATTATGATGTGGAAAGATTTTTATCTTCTCAGAAAGTTCCCACATGGTCCTTTGTTCCTTCCCGGTTATTCTAGGGGAAAGGGAATATTACCTTTTTTTTTTTTTTCAGTACTGGGGATTGAACCCAGGGATGCTCTATCCCTTCTACCACTGAGCCACATCCCAGCTCTTTTTATTTTTTATTTTGAGACTCTCACTGAATTGCTGAGGACCTTAATAATTTGCTGAGGCTGGCCTCAAACTTACAGTTCTCTTGCCTCAACCTCTCAAGTCACTGGGATTATAGGTGTATGCTTCTGCAGGCAGCAAGGATGTTAACTTTTATGATAGAAAATTTCAAATTGCTATGTATCCATCACCTAGTTTTAACAATTGTCAACACATATTTAATCATGTTTCATCTACAGCCCCATCCATTCCTCCCCACCTTGAATTATCTTGAAGCATATTCCTAACATACAAAAGTTATACATATTTCTGTAAGTATTTTTGAAAAATAAGGACTCTTTTTAAAAAATAATTATTATACCCATTACCCTTTAAAATTTTAACATTTCTTTGATCTGATTTAATGAGGAGATGGGGAAGACATTCTTCTGTGTGTAAATAGTAACTTTAAGAAAAAATTAAGAGTGGGGGTAATGATGAGGATATTTTAGATTCTTTGCCCATACTTCCCTAATCCCTCCAGCTTTGATAAGACGTTTCTGACTCAGAATTTTCCTTGTTCTTAGCTCCATTACTTGCCACAGCCCAGGCAAAACCAGGAGACACCCAGGAGGAAGAGGCTAACTCAGGAGAGGTAACAGACGTGCCTTCTCCCCTGTCTTCCTCATACAATAAATATGCTTAGTGGGAGATTTGATATGAAAATACAGGCTAGGTTCCTGCAGGGTACTTGTGCTGTAAGAGTTCCCAGACTTTGGGGGTTAACGAAGAGTCTGGTTAACAAGAGATGGTATATACATGATTAGGCCACTGCAGATCATTGAAGGTATCAAAGTACTCCTAAGGTCATAGGTTACTGAATAAGGCATCCATTAAAAAGTATGATTAAAAGTTACTAAGGTGATATATAGGTCATTCCAGGGCATTCCTGGTTTGCGTCTGTTGTTCTAGTTAGTTTTTCACATCTACTTCTCCCATTCATAAAGGTACCTTGGTTTGGACAGCGAATTATATGATTGCCCTAGACAGAAAGGATTATCAGTGTTAGATAATATTTAATTTTTAAACTCTGACAATGCTGATGATAATTTGCATTGCCAAAGGCAGATGTTATGAGATTTTTTTTTTTTTTTAAGTACAAGTCATTTATTTGGAAGCAGATCCCAGGAAACTCTAGTAGGAAGCAAGGATGTGAAATGGGAAGTAAGATAAACCAAGGAAGGGGATATGGTCAAGCCAGTAACACCTGTGGATACTTTGAATTCCATCCTGTGAGATGGTGTTAAACACATACCTGAGACTTATCCTGCCTGAGTAACAAGAGGGCTGTAATGTCCACCCACTGTTACCAGTGTGTGAGGGCAGGCTGACCTCAGGTGGGATGAAGGATTTTAATTCTGGCTGAGACCTTTTGCAGACAGTGCAGGGGCAGGGGACAGAGAAAGCTTTCAGCAAAGAGGCACCTGGGACTGGCAGTTGAAGTTAGTAGATGTCATATAAGATTTTGATCACATAAGTGGTATGAATATATAAATTATCCACTTTGTCTTTGCTGAGAAATTTCGTTGCAGTCAGATCTGACTTTCTCCTTGTACCATGATTTAGGGCATTTTCTCCCCTACCCCTGATTGATAAGTGTTGAGAAAATGCAAAATTAACCATAAATAAAGTATAGAATAGCTAGAAAATGCTGTCCCCCCCCCACACACACACACAAAAGCTGTCAAATGGACATGGGGCTTGCTTTCCTTTCTTAGTTCATAAATATAAGGATTAGATAGATAGTAGCTATTTCTTAAGTCTTGTGGTTATCAATCAAGGGTGAAACCAAGTAGTTCAGAGGCTATTTGGGAAATAGACTCCATCTCTAAGCTTCCAGAACTCTAATGCCCACCTGTTTCTTTCCCAGGAGCCATTTATTGAAACTCGCCAGGATGGTGTCTCTCGCAGATTCATCCCCCCTGCCAGGTGCCTACTACTCCTTGGCCCCTCGTTCCTTGCTAGTCAAATTTTAATTAAAGGCAGAAATTGAGACCTGGGGCTAGGTGATGTAGACAAATCATCACCCAGCCTGTTGGCTCTTCTAGAAAAAAAATGTATTCCCTTATTCCTGGCCTAGTATTAAGTTTTTCATGAAGCCATTCACACAGTGGGAAGGGATAGTAGCTTAAATGTGAAGAATTGAGAAATATTGAAGGAGTGATTGGGCTCTTGAGAAGTTTGAAAATAGCAAATGTGGTCAGATATTCAGATCCTTAGTTCTCATTAATACAGCAAGTTAAAGGTTGCTGACAATGAGTGTAATATTAAAAAAAATAGTCATTCTTAATTCTCCTTCCATTTTCACTATAGACACATGTCAGTTTTTTTGTTGTTGTTGTTGGGTTTTTGGGGTTTGTTTTTATTTTTATTGTATTTTATTTATTTTTTTTTTTTTGGTTTTGGTATTGGGGATTTAACCCAAGGACACTTTACCACTGAGCTGCACCCCCAGCCATTTTATTTTTATTTATTTGTTTGTTTGTTTATTTATTTATTTATTGAGACAGGGTTTCACTAAGTTGCTTAGGGCCTTGCTAAGTTGCTGAGGCTGGCCTCAAACTTGTGATCCTCCTGCCTCAGCCTCCTGAGTCATTGGGATTACAGGCGTGCACCACCATGCCTGGCCATATATCAGTTTTTGGTGCTCCCTCTCCTTCCTTAGTCCATCCAGGCCAACCTTTTGCTGTGGAAGACCAATATGACCTTCTCTTGGGAGAGAGGTGCCCTTGGGAGGTGAGGCTAGGAATGGATGTGTGCCTTGAGGCCCCTCACCTGGTGCTTGAGAGTCTCTGCCACTGGCAGCACAGTAGGTGGAGGAGACCTCTCTGCTCCCTCATGTGGCCCATGGGCGGGGGGCTGTCTGCAGGATGATGTCTACAGAAAGTGCTAACAGCTTCACTCTGATCGGGGAGGCATCTGATGGCGGCACTATGGAGAATCTCAGCCGAAGACTAAAGGCAAGTCGGCCTCATTCCAATGTCAAGCAGTTGAACCAATTGGTAGAGGGTGTGGCTGGGCAGGTATTATAAAGGAGACCCTACCCCACCTCTCCAACACTTCCAGGTCACTGGGGACCTTTTTGACATCATGTCGGGCCAGACAGATGTGGATCACCCACTGTGTGAAGAATGCACAGATACTCTTTTAGACCAGCTGGATACTCAGCTCAATGTTACTGAAAATGAGTGTCAGAACTACAAGTGAGTGTCTCCAGAGCCAGGGCTCAACAACTAAGACCTGGGTCTGGAAGGCTATTTATCCCTTAGCCAAGGCTTTACTGCACTTGGAACACACAGAACAACAGGTTCCTTTGGTAAGTATATTCTGCCTGCATCCTCGGCAGATGCTGTCTGGAAATCCTAGAACAAATGAATGAGGATGACAGTGAACAACTACAGAGAGAGCTGAAGGAGCTGGCACTAGAGGAGGAAAGACTGATCCAGGAGTTGGAAGATGTGGAAAAGAACCGCAAGGTAGTGGCAGAAAATCTGGAGAAGGTCCAGGCTGAGGCTGAGAGACTGGATCAGGAGGAAGCTCAGTGAGTGCTCACCCTGTTCTGTCTTCCTGCCCTCCAGGCACCAGGAGAGGGAAGGGTTCCCAGCTGAATGTGTCTGATTAGTTTTGTAAACTGTAGCTGGCTGTCATTTGGCAGCATGTCTGCTCCAGATCCTGCATGTTGTTTCCAGGCCCTGTTTCTAGAGGATTGTTTGGAAGGTTGTATATGAAGAGTCAGCATGATCAAGTGAAAAGGTGTTGGTTAGAGAGTGCCAGCACCAGAACACTGGTTTTGGTTCTGTCCTCGAGAGAATGGGCCTATTTGGATAATATACTTTGCAGCCATCATCTGGAAAGATGAGCCTATTGGCCTACATTTGTTCCCTCCCAGAGCAAAAGTTTCATGGGTGTTGTTTTTGTTTGTTTTGTTTTTTGTGGTACTGGGGCTTGAACCCAGGGGTGCTCTACCGTTGAGCTACACCCCCAGCCCTTTAAATTCTGTTTTGAGGCAGGATCTTGCTATGTTGCTGAGACTGGCTTTCAGCTTGATCTCCTCCTATCTAAGCCTCCAAGTAGCTGGGATTACAGGCATGTGCCACCATGCCTGGCTCATGGATATTCTTGACCTGAGAGAACCCTCTGTTGAATGGAGGACATAACAGTGTCTGCACTAAATTTGGGGAAATGAAGGAAAGAGAAAAAATGTCAATTTTTCACAGTGATATAAAAGTTGCACTGGAAATGGTGTATACTAACTACTTAAAGGATAATAAGTGTAGAAGTGAAGTTATAGGGGCCAATTATTGCCAGTTCATGAGAGAAGCCCGTCTTAATGCATTCACCTCACTTTTGAAAAAGATTGGAAATATCATCAGAGTTTTTTGGTCTAGTTCAGAAGAGTCTTTTTTCCTCCACCTTTACGCATATGGGCCAGCTGGAATTTGAGACATTTGTTTTCCTCCTAGGTAAAGGCATGTATGTTCCTGAGAGGGATCTATGCCAAATATAGAAAATTCTGTAACTAAATGTAACTGTAATCATTAGAATAAGTTGTTCAGACGTGTGATTGGAGAGAAATCAGTCCCCAAACTAACAGTCTTCAATGGCCCCCTTTGCTCTCACAGGTATCAGAGAGAATATAGTGAATTTAAACGACAACAGCTAGAGCTGGATGATGAGCTGAAGAGTGTAGAAAATCAGATGCGGTATGCCCAGATGCAGCTGGACAAGCTGAAGAAAACCAACGTCTTTAATGCAACCTTCCATATCTGGTAATGAGGCTGGAGATATGTCTGGGCAGCACTACCAACGTGGACCTTAGCAGTTGACTACTAAGTCATGGTGTCTGACTCCCCTAAAAGAGAGATTGTAGATCATCTTCACCCCATCTTAAGTTTCTGTCATTCCTTGTGATGGGATAGGCACAATCAAGGGCTTAGAATTCTAGAGCTTGGTGATATCTACTCATCCAAGGAAAGGGAAGGATCTGAGTCTTCCAGCCACTAAGTGAGGACCTGGTCAGCTTCCTGGTAATTTCTTACCCCAAGGTCTTTCATGTATTCATTTCATGTTTTATCCACTTAGCTAGTAACTGTTGGTGTGCCTACCTTTTGTAGGGGCTGTACCAGAAAGGCCACAGCAGACAATATGCAGTCTACCTTCAGGTTACTTATAATCTGGTGGAAGGGATAGATAAATAGTAGGCAAGGATAATACAGTATGAGAAGGGTGCTGTGGGAACTTTACCCAATTCAGGGAGGCAGCATGAAAATTCCCCCTAGAGGTTGATGGTTTAGTTGAGAGGTGAAGAAGATGTCTGCAGAGGGGGAGTTGTTCCTGGCAGAGAGAACATCATGTGCAAAAAAAATAGGAATGAGGGTGTGGTAAATTCAAAGAAATGAAAGGAGCTTATTGTGACTGAAGATTGAGTGTAAAGGGGTAAGTGATTGGATATGAAATTAGAGAGTTACCATTTCCTAAAGGATCTTGTAGACCTCATTAAGGGGTTTGCACTTGATCCAAAAGGCAGAAGGAACAATTGAAGCATTTCAGATGAGGAACTGACATCATTGAATTTTTATTTATAAGGAGAGCCTTACCTACTATGTGAGAAATGACTGGGAGAAGTAGATTAAGGAAATTTGTCAGTAGGAATCTAGACAGGAAAACAGTGGTTGGAAAGAAGAAGACATAAGAGCAGTTGAGTTGGAGATAAGTGGACAGATTTAAGAGATTGAGGAGTTAAGATCAATAGAATTTGATGGGTTTTGCTGGGAGGGAGCTGAGAGAGAGCATTCAGTGGTGACACCCAGGTTTTTGCTTTGGCTTCTGCGAAGCTAGGAGAAAGTTGATGACTCAAGTTTTGGGCATGTATTTAAAAGGCCAAGTAGATGTTGAATACATGAATCTGAAGATAGGGAGAGAAATTTATGCTGATTTGGGAGTGAGAGTGGGAAATCTCAGAAGTTTTATTAATCCCTGTATTTTCCTTCTACCTTTCTGCCTTCCTCTACAGGCACAGTGGACAATTTGGCACAATTAATAACTTCAGACTGGGTCGTCTGCCCAGTGTTCCTGTGGAATGGAATGAGATTAATGCTGCTTGGGGTCAGACAGTGTTGCTGCTTCACGCCCTGGCCAATAAGATGGGTCTGAAATTTCAGAGGTGAGAAACAGTCCTTCCTTGGGGTGTGGTGTATCTTTGACATAATCTGTATCTCCCACCTGCTACTTCTCTCTACTGTGGCAGGAGCCCTTGCTGCCAGCAGACTGAGAATTTTCTGTGGGTAGAGGCTCTGTCTGCATGAGGTTCTTCCTTTATCACAGGGCTCGTTCCACTGATAGAGCAGTCATCAAGCTATATGATGGGAGTGGTGGTCCCCAACTTGTAGTCTCTAGAACCTTAGTGTCCCTCAAGACACTAAGTTTCAGGGGTTTTTGTTGTTTTACGGTACTGGGGATTGAACCCAGGGTCTCATGCATGCTTGGCAAGCACTCTACCACTGAGTTAACAGCTCCAGCACTTTTTATTTTTAAAAATATTTTTTAGTTACAGATGGACACAGTACCTTTGTTTTATTTATTCATTTTTATGTGGATTAAACCTAGTGTCTCACACATGCCAGGCAGGTGCTCCATCACTGAGCTACAACCCCAGCCCCCCTTTTTATTTTATTTTATTTTATTTTTTTTTTTTAGAGAGAGAGAGAGAGAATTTTTTAATATTTATTTTTTAGTTCTCAGCGGACACAACATCTTTGTTGGCATGTGGTGCTGAGGATTGAACCCGGGCCGCACGCATTCCAGGCGAGCGCGCTACCGCTTGAGCCACAATCCAGCCCCTTATTTTATTTTTAAAATTTATTTTTTTAATATTTATTTTTTAGGTGTAGATGGACACACACAATGCCTTTATTTTTATGTGGTGCTGAGGATCGAACCCAGATCCCTCCCATGCTAGGCGAGTGCTCTACCGCTGAGTCACAATCCCAGCCCCTTTATTTTTTAATTTGAGGCAGAATCTCACTAACTTGCAATCATCCTGCCTCAGCCTCCTGAGTAGCTTGGGTTATAAGCATGTGCCACTGAAACTAGCTCAGTTTTTTCTAAATTCTAAACTAAAACATATATTAGTTCATGAAGGCCCCCAGATAGTTATATAATAAATGTAATTTTTTCAGTAAACAAAATCTTTTAAACATGGATCTATGGGCAGCTTGGAGAGAGGGTTGGGAATAATAAAAGAGTCCTTGGGTAGGATGCAGATCAAAAATCTACAATTTCCCATTACTCTTTAGGAGTCCTGTATCCATCTCTGTCTGCATCTTGATTTTAGGTATCGACTTGTTCCCTATGGAAATCATTCATATCTGGAGTCTCTGACAGACAAATCTAAGGTACTATGGGAGGCCCCTTTTTCACTGGAATAGAGTTCCTATTCCTCCTAACAAAGTGGTTTAGTTTGATATTGGTATTATTTTCTTTCTTAAAATGAGATAATCAAAGAGTCAATGTCTTGTTCAGGCTTAGCTCTTTGGGGCTTATAGAGAAAAATTAGGTTTTTAGAACTTGTTGAGAAGGAATTTGGGCAGATCAGAGGAGAATGTATGTACTAGGATGGAGAAGGAGTCACTGTGAGGTAAAGTACATTTGCACTGATGGGAAAGTAGTTCTAGGTGCCTTGTTAATTGTATTTGTTCAAGGTTATGGAAGATACAGCCCAGCCCCGATCTTGTTGCCAGTGGATACAGACAGAATATGACTTGAAAGATTGATAGGACTTAGAACAATCTCTGGTGGCCTTTCTTTGCTTCCATTCAGTTTTCTTTTCTTGGACAGGAGCTGCCATTATATTGTTCTGGGGGTTTGCGGTTTTTCTGGGACAACAAGTTTGACCATGCAATGGTAGCTTTCCTGGACTGTGTGCAGCAATTCAAAGAAGAGGTGGAGAAAGGTGAAACACGATTTTGTCTTCCTTACAGGTCAGTATCCCCCAGTACCAAATGAGCTTGTAGTGGGACCCAGCAGAACAGAATTGAGGGACAGTCAGAACAGAGGCGAAAACACACAGATGGGGGGAAAGCAAAACATGATGTGGAAAGCACGTGATACTGATGGGCAAGACGGATCCAATACTGCAAGCTAGATAGTGTGACACCTGGTCCTATAGTAATAGAATGTTGTTTTTGGTGGTTTTGGAGATTTTCTTGGCACAAATCTCAAGCCTGATTTCAGGAAGCTTTTTCCTTGAAACCTTTGGAAATATACAGGAACGCTTTGGGTCAGATTTGGAGGAGCCTCGTAATAGGTGGAAACCCTAGTTCAAGAGAGAAAGCTTAAGCCACTCCTATCACCCTGAAATAAAGCATTTTTTCTTTTGCTTTCTTCACCCTTTATTATGAGTTCAGGGATGGCCTAGGAAAACAATGTACTGTAACCCTCACTTACCCCTGCGCTTCTGGCTTCTCATGTGTTTGGGTGTGTGTCTTGTCCCTGTACTCCACAATGACAATGAAGCTCTTGTGACAGCCTTCTTGATTTTTGGCTTTCAAGCAAATCCAAAATACACTACCATTTCTCGCCAAGAGTTCTTTATTAGATGACGTGAATGGTCCCATGATCAAATCCCTGTCCATTTGCTTGAACTGACTTAACTCAGATCTCAGTTACTAATGAGTTCTGCTGTGTCCATCTGCAGGATGGATGTGGAAAAAGGCAAGATTGAAGACACAGGAGGCAGTGGCGGCTCCTATTCCATCAAAACCCAGTTTAACTCTGAGGAACAGTGGACAAAAGCTCTCAAGTTCATGCTGACGAATCTTAAGTGGGGTCTTGCTTGGGTATCCTCACAGTTTTATAATAAATGACTTTCTTGTTTTCTTAGGATACTTGTCTTAAAGGCTTTAAATTTTGTTTTTGTTTGCAAAAAAAGAAAAAGTTTTAAATTTGGAAAATATTAAACAGCACATGTTTACAATACCAAAAGAGATAAAAGCCACTTTATTTTAAAATATCATATGACAGATAATTTCCAGAGCTACAACATGCCATGTATAGTTACCAGCCCTTGTCACAATTTCGCTCCTAATCCCATGCCTTCTCTTCCCTTTATCCCCTGAACAAACAACTAATTTAAGTTTGCTTTTTTTTTTCTTTGAGTTGAACTGAGACTGGTGTGTTTTCACTGGATTTTATCTCTCTCAACTTCCTGCACTTAAAATATGAAATACAAGCTTTTGTCTCCACTGAGACGATGAGATGTTTGAAATACACAGTTGGATAACGTGGGAAAATGACATCTAAGCTTTGCCTGGTCACCATGTGATGTGATCAGAAGCTTGAAATTTAACACTTCTCACTCAGTTCAAGTACTGAATGCCTATTTTGCTCTGTGTTAAGAATAACGTTATGAAATGGTGTTTGATACTGTTTGAGACATTATGGAGAAATTTATTTGTAATAAAATTTTGCTATAGTCTAATAACTGTCCAGAGGTGTACTGTTGAGTTTTTCTTTAACTAAAATAGAGTACTTTGTATTCTGGGAGAATTGAATTCAAGTGCAGATATGTGGAAATTCTTTTGAAACATGTTTAGAGATGGTATGGTTTTAGAAAAAACAAAAAGTAGTGAAAATAGCTATAGAGAAAGCCCTGTTTGTGTAGACCTTGATAACAGAGAGAAACATTAAACTAAGGAGAAATAAATAAACACTATCTCCTTGATACTTAGTCAAGGTCACCAGATAGTCTGTTTTGAGACTCCGGTTATGCTAATCTCTATGTCTTATTGTCCTGATTAATGAAATTAAGTCAAAAGCTATGAATATACTCTTAAATAAAAATGAACCAACTTCACTAATCTATATCCTCCAAGCTCTTTGACACTTTTAGTTTTATATGACAAAAAGGACATTCTTATCCACCCTGACTCTCTGATGTAAGAAAATGTGCATGAATTTGGAATAACACCCAGGTGTGGTGGCACTCACAATAATCCAGCTACTTCGAAGACTGAAGCAGGAAGATTGCCAAATTTGAGACCAACCTGAGCAATTTAGCAAGACCCTGTTTCAAAATGGAAAATAAAAAGTATTGGGAATATAGCTCAATAGTGGAGCATTTGCCTAGCATACCAGAAGGTCCTGCATTCAATCCCTATTATGCAAAAAAAAAAAAAAAAAGAATACAAAATACAGTTCAAAAGAGACTTGGAACTTTTGTACACTGAGTATGAAAGTAAACAAAGGGAGGGATGAGTACAGTGATGGAAGGCTGTTTATATTTGGTGGATTCAGCCTGCATCATGTGTTAGAGGAAGCAGCAGCCTTCAGAGCTCTGGCTGCCAGGTGGGGAGGAACAGGCTGCTGTCGCCCTGGAGTGTTGGCTCCCACGCTGTGAGTCAGGATTGCATAAGAGAACTCAGCAATGCTCTCCGAAGCAATACCAGTGATGCTCTGCAAATGTTCCACAACCTTCACAAATAGAGACAGATTTTGTATTACTAAATAATCTCAATGTGTTTTGTGCACATGTGCATGCGCACATGCACACAAACACACACTGCTTGGGATGTTCTCTTAAGCCAAATATAAACTTTTTTCATTTCTCTGAACTTATGGGGAAGAGTCCAGATTCCAGTGTTTGCCAGTGGCCAAATTACATTAGGATACCTTTGTCCTGCTAGTGTTGGCATGGAAATTTTCTGTGGACATATCCCTCTACTGGAGATAAGTTTTGAGAATATAAGGGGGATATTTAGGCTTTAACATTTCTTTTGGGGGAGGATATACTTATTAGACTTTAAACATAATAGTGGGTCAGAATTTTAAAGGGAAATGAACATGCTAAATTTGAGCATCTATTTCCAATTTCATAAGGGAAAAACTAGAGAAAATATTTCAATCCTGCCTTAGTTTTTCCCCTCCCAAATCCTGTTCAATCACCCCAGTTCTGGGTCTTGGCACCTATCTTTTATAGGTTGTCTTCTGTTTAACTGATGGAGAAATGCTTTCTATTAAATTAATTCTGGCCATGCTGGTCCTGCTCAGTGATGCATACCTGGCTCCAACACTCATGGTTTTGGATGAAAGCACTTGCTGCAATGATTCCTACTGCCAACAGCATGAAGTCTTCCTTTACTGAAATAAACTTTTCCCTGAGTGATTAAAACCATATTAATTTTGGAGCTAGAAAGAAATTTCCAAATCCTTGATCTTCCAACTTATACTATAAATTGCTTATATTGATCATCTTGGATGTTTTGAGACATGGAAGGAAATGGTCAAGTAATAGCTAATTGACCTGCTCCCCTATACTCCCCCAACTCAACTGGCATTAAAACATGCCCTCATGTCTTTGAGTGATAAGGCTTTTTATTGTTCCATCTGTCTCCCTAACAAATGTATCTGTAAGGCCTTTGAGCAGCCTGAATTTACAGTAATCAAAAACTTTTGTTCAAGTTGCAACCGTATGACTGTTTCCCCCCCCCAAGTAACTATAAAAACAGTTTACTAACCTAAAATTATAAGCAGCTATAAAGAAAAACCTAGGAAAGTAAGTTAATTACTTGAAGTAATTTAAATCCAGAAGTAAAAGCTTTTAGAGTTTTCCTGATTGGGTTCAGTCATCTGCATCCAAGCAACATTTAAAAAGTTAATAAGAACCAGTAACCTGTGTAGGTTTTCAGTGGACTAGATGCCTTACTAGGGTAATTCCATTCTCCACAATCTTGTGATCTATCCCCCATTCCCTGTTCCTGGAAGGAGCCAACCCTAGAGGAGTTGCTTACCCTTGGAGTTGACTGGGCGTAGAGTTCTCAATTGAAGCCCTCAGCAAACTTTCATATATGGGTTCATGTAGAAGATAGACCAGGTCAAGCAGGGTCAGGCAGGTTGCATGCAGCTGTGTTGCTGGGACCAAACAACCATTGTATCCTAGATGGAGTGTGAGCAGAGTAGGAAACATTAAGTGGTTGTACTCTAATTGTACTGACAATTGTCTTATGACATAAAGCTGTTTAGCTACTAATGTGCTTCCTGGTTCCTACATTCTATAAGCAAGTCAGTTGTAAAGGACAAAGGGACAGGTAGAGAACCTCCATCTATAGTATACATACAATTACAGTATTTGTTCCTATCTTATGTTTCCATAAAATCAACCCTTAGATCCTGCAATAAGAAAGTACCTAGCGAGTCCAAACAGAAACCAGTTTCTGAGACTTCTGGCTCCTTCCCCTATCAGGTGCTGGAGGGGACACCTTTTTCAGTCATTTAGAGACAATATCAGCTTCCTGCTGCTCCTCATTGGCAAGTTCTGCCTGCTGTTCCCACACCCCAGGCACGTATTTTTATTGCCTTCTATGGAAATCTCCAACCCACATTTCTTGACACAACAAAGTACCTAAAACCTCTAGGAGCATTTCTACATATGCCAGGGGAGTGGGTAGATTGATTTGAAAGTTCAGGGACTTCAAAACATCAAGCTCTGACTCCAGCAGTTCTTCTTTAGTGTATAGATACCCCAGAGCCTGGAGGAAATTCAAGACTGTAATGTTGCTGATTATCTGAGCAAAGAAGAACAAAACAGGGAGGGAGAGAAGGATGTCAGGATATAGGTCATCTTATCTTGGCAGACTGTACTAAGTTCTTCACAGCCCAACCCATGCCTTCATTACTAATCTCCCCTCTTGGTAATTCTCTTAAACTCTATGCTTATTGCACAGAATGTTTGCTGTTCCCAAATCTACCAAACTGCTTCCTGGACCTAGATCTTACTTTCTTCCCTCCCCTTCTTCTCTCCCTGCCCTCCCTAACCCTCTTTTCTTGGGATTCACTCTTCTGCCACCCACCCCTACTTCAAGAAATCATATTCTCTAAATACACTTCCTTAACTCTCTAAGGCCAATGAGGTAGTCTCACCCTCTATTGTTTATATTAATCATAGCACCTTTTTACCCTGCTTGCATATTTGTCTTTTCTTATTAGATAATAAATTCCTTGAGAACACAGATAATATATTTACTGTTGTGGCCGTGGTACCTAGTGCAACATCTGGCCATAGGAGAAACTTAAAAAATTTAATGTCATTTTTCTGCACAGGCACTGGGTAGTCATGTGGTAACATTTTATCCCTTTTAAATGTAATACTTTTCCTTAAATGGTGATAGGTATGTTGGCAAATCAGGCATCTTATGCAAACTGTCCTTGAATCCAAGGAGAGGAAAGGTGACCTGTATGAATGATGGCATCTGTCCAGTAATTATACTTTGGGAACAGAACCTCAGGTTATTTAATAACTACTTCGGTGTGTGTGTGTGTGTGTGTGTGTGTGTGTGTGTGTGTGTGTGTTTAGGAGGTATGCTTAGGAAACAATTACACTCTGGAATTTCCACATGAGCAGTACCACCTGGCCTAGGAATGGGTTTCTGAGCCACCTTCAATGAACTGGTTTCTTTCTAACACTCAGGTGCCCACAAGCTACCCCAGCTCCTTACTTTGTAGTGGAAGGAAAGTTTGCTGGCCAGCTGAACACATGACACCAGGCGAAGGATAAACTTATTGAAAAGCTGCTCTTTCAGAGCCCTCCAATTCTGAGACTCTGTCTTCTCATTACCCCTCAGCTGGATTGTAGCTTGCCTACAGATGTTCTCTGCCTGCTTAACCATAAACCTGCAAGGAAGGGAGAGGGAGAGGAGAGAACCCACACTTAAACTAAAGGGAGTTTGTGCTTCAAACTATGCTATATTTTAACTTCCGGTACAAGTGCTGGCTAAGAAATTTATACTTGCAAGTAAAAGAGAGAGGATGTAAGAGTAAGGGGCAACTAGTACTTTTCTGTTTTGTTTTTCAGTACTGAGGATTGAACCTAGGAGTGCTCTACCACTGAGCTGCTTTTTGAGACAGTCTCAAGTTGCTGAGGCTAGTCTCAAATTTGCCATCCTCCTGCCTCAGCCTCCCAAGTTCCTGATATTATAGGCATGCACCGCCTCCTCTGGATGAAAAAAAATTTTTTTTTTAAGATTTAGGCACATTAGCCATTCTGAGAAGTACCACTCACAAAGGCTCAGGGTTTTACCTTTCTAGGATTTCTACAGCTTGGTAGCTCACAGATTTCTCCAAACACCATTGTTCAGACAGGAGAAAAATAAACTCTGCCAAAACAGGAAAGAAGAGCTCATTTACAAAATGCAACCAAAGCCACTCTGTGAACTCTTGGTGTTGTGTAAAAGCCATGATGGGACTGAGAAGAGGGTCAAGAGGTTAGAAAGATGAGACAGAAACAACCAAAGCAGAGCTTGATTTCCTTTGCTGCAAGTAAGGCAGATCAGAGGCATGAAAAGGAGGCTGACTGGGTCATGGGCTTCACAAGCGCCCTCAGTAGCCCAAAAGCATTCTTGTGGGTCTCAGCTGATAAAGGCCTTGGCCAGTTACACATAAATATAGCAGCTGCACCATGCTAGGAACTCTCAGCTTCAAGGAAGATTCTCTGATAAAAATCCTAACCTCTATATTCTGTTTTCAGTGGAATATTGGCAGGGAACAGAAAGGTCCCTCCTGGGGCTGTCTTTATAACACTGTTTGTTTAGTAACCACCCTCTGGAGAACTCCCATTGCTTTACAAACAGGATTCACCTTACAGCTGGACACTACCTCCCCTCCACCAGTTTGTTGGGTAAATCTATGGTGGCTGAGCCTCTCCCTAGGAGCAAACTTATTACTGTGGAGTGACTTGTCTTAAAGAGACATACCCTAAATCAGAGCACATAGTTCAATTTAGTGGGAAAGAATCATTGGGAAGGTGAGAAGACCAAGACACTTTGGCAAGATTTTAGTCTGCTTGTTACTCTTTAAAAGAACATCCCCAATATAATTCTATTTAGCTTGCAATATCATTAGAAACAAGGGTAAATGTCCATTTTAGGAAAGAAATCTCCTACAGACCTAAGAACTTTTAACCTTGATGACCAAAGAGTACAGATTGAGTATCTCTTATCTGAAATGCTTTGGACCAGAAGCGTTGCAGACTTCAGGGCTTTTTGGATTTTGTAATATTTGCATCCCTAATCTGAAAATCTGAAATGCTCCAAAATTTTTTATGGGGATTAAGGATGCTCAATCTGTACACATGTAGTTGAATTATCACTTGTCTTTAGAGAAAAATCTCTCTTAAAAAAAAAACTATTTTAAAAAAAGACACATGATCAGTTTAAAGATCTACCCAACACACATTACACACATATATGTACAAAACCTTATTACAGACTACAGCTTTGCTAGCAATGTCCAATGCAGAATAGAATTAAACAATTCAGAAAAAAAAAAATACCTAATTGTGTATTACTAGCCAGTCTGGACTTCAGGCTTTATTTCTTAGCAGTTTTGGGGAGTGTGTGTGTGAGCGCACACGTGTTTGTGTGTGTGCGCGCATGCACATGCATGCCTACATGTGTATGTTTACATTTGTTTTGGTTTTGGTCTGAATAATCTAGGCATTCATTTATGGTTTCCATTTTAATTTTCCAAGAAAACAGCTTGGCTTAGGAGGAATAGATGATGGTTACATCTTTCCCTCAATACTGGCTCCACCTCTTCTGCTTACAAACATATTCATATCTGCTATTAAATAAAAAGAAGCTCCCCTACCATGCTCATAAGCTGAGTCTCCATCTCTCTCCTTCCTATCACTGCTGAATTTCTTACACACCCGCTGTTTCCACTTTTGTAACTCTCTAATTTCCTGCAATTTGGCTTCTACTTTCCCCAACTTGCTGAAATGATTATATGTCCAGATTGTTAAATATCGTGGATTTCTTTGCAACCTTCATTCCTGTTGATATTCCTAAAATGTCTGAACCTGCTGACATCATCTTTCTGGAAACTCTCCTCTTGGTTTCCAAAAGTCCTTGTTTCTGCTCCTGTATCCCCAACCACTCCATTCCCTTCACAACTCTTTCACCTATTCTAATTCCCTCAAAACAAAATGTTTCCCAAGGAAATGTCCTTGACCTGCTTTTCTTTTCTCCTACACATTCATCCTCTCCAACAGTTTCAACAATATCATTATGAAGATAACTTGCAAACCTTTATTTCTAGTTCTGACCTACTTCTTTGTGTGTGTGTGTGTGTTTTAAATGATTGGTAAGAGGGGCTGGGGTTATGGTTCAGAGGCAGAGCTGCTCGCCTCGCATGTGTGAGGCCCTGGGTTCGATCCTCAGCACCACATAAAAATAAATAAAGATATCGTGTCCATCTACAACTAAATTTTTTTTAAAAAAATTTTTTAAATGATTGGGAGCTGGGATTATGGCTCAGCAGTAGAGCCCTCACGTAGCACGGGCAAGGCCCTACATTAGAGCCTCAACACCACATAAAAATAAATATATTATATCCAACTACAACTAAAAAATTTTTAAAATTTAACAAAATGATTGGAAAGCACCCTACCACTGAGCTCTCTCCCCAGCCCCTGATCTGCTTTTTAAAACAGCCTGTTAGAAAATTTCCTCTAGATGTTCTTCAAGTACCTTAAACTCAATAAATCCGAAACCAAAGCAATTATTTTTCTCAAAGTCACAGATCTTCCTCTTTTGGTTTTTGGTGTGTGTGTTAATGGCACCATTATACTCCCAGTCTCTCAGACTCAATCCTTTGGCAGAGTCATTTTTCCTTCTTCATGTCTTTAAGTCACCTAGGGAAGAACCCTAGATTTTGCCTAAATGTTTTTAATCCATCCTCCTTTGTCATTTTCTCCATCCTGTCACCTAGGCTCCTCTGGTCTGCCTACTTCCCATCTTCCTCTAGTCAAATTCATCCTTTACATAACATCCAAAATGAGTTTTGCCCAGGCAAAAGTTACAGTCATACCACTGCCTTATTTCAAAACCTCCAACATCTTCCTATTAAATATAAAATCCTCCCCCTTGACATTCAAACTTCTACATGGAACTTCTCCAAACTACCTTTATGTCTTCAATCCAACAACTCTTCCATGAACTCTGGCTGGTGGGCTACTCTGACCCCCACACATCCTAAGCTTCCTTCACTTTATTCCTGCTATCCCATTTTGGTAGAAAGGCTGTCCCCCTCCTCCACCTTCACCAACCAACCTTCCTTTAAGGTCTGCTTCAAATATCTCAATGCCTAGACCACTCCTTAATTCTCCCTATTACCCCATCCCTCCTTTCAATCCCCCTAAAAGTTTATCTCTTATGTCACTTATCTAACCAAGCTTGTACCTAGTCATTTACCTATTTGTCCAAATAACCCCCCAAAGATTGCACATAGTTTGAGAACAAGGGCCACCTATTTCTTCTTTCTATGGCAGGCAATGTCTAAGTACTCTATATAATGTTGGAGAAGTGAAGGTGCTAGAGAAGTTCATCACTATGGCCCTAGCACCCAGCAATAAAGCAGGTACAAAGTAACAAAAAAAAAATTTTTTTTTTGAAAAAATAAAAGAATCTTAAAGTTGGTGCCTCAAAGGCTCCCCTCAACCCCACTCCCAGGCCCTGCATCCACACCCACGATCCGGGTCTCCCTGAAGCTGCCCATGCGTCCCCCAGCCGCCTGCACTGCTTGCTCATTCTGCTGGGCCAAGTGAAGCAGGGCGTCTTCAATAGTTTCTGTGGCAACAGCCCCAAACTGAAAGTCACCGAGGGAGCTCAATCTTGGCCTCATAGATCCGTCCATATTCAGAAGCCTTTGGGGACCCTGGGACAGTTCACTGGATCCATAAATTCTCCCCCTTAGCTTCTCTCAGAAGCCTTCAGCCACACCCTGGGTTCCTCGTCCCCTTCCAATGTGTCTGTCCCCGCCTCAAGTCTGAGGAAAGCCCAATTCCCACCACAGCCTCGAGCTCTCCACAGTTTTTCCCCGCTCCAACGGCCGGCCGCGGGACCCTCAGCCAATCAGAAAACACAGCCCCTTCCCGCCATTCCGGGCCTTCGCCCTAGGGCCCAAAGCCTCCGCTCTTCCCGGGAAAGTGAATAAGGACTACAACTCCCAGCGTTCCTGGCGGTGGGCAAGGACTACTTTCCCAGCAAGCCCCGCACCCCGGCACTGCGAAGGGCGGAGCGGCAACATGGCGGCGCCAGGTGCTGGTGACCCTCTCGATGCCAAGAACGGAAAGGCTCCTTTTGCTCAGCGCATCGACCCGACCCGGGAAAAACTGACTCCCGCGCAACTGCAGTTCATGCAGCAGGTGCAGCTTGCCCAGTGGCAGAAAACGCTGCCACAGCGGCGGACCCGGAACATCGTGACCGGCCTGGGCATCGGGGCCGTGGTGTTAGCTATTTGTATCCGTCCTGATAAGGGCAGGGGAACAGAAGCGTGTGGGAGGACTGAACCAAGCATTTAATGTTTGGGTGAAATAGGGTTAATACCAGCTGTTCTATTTTTAAGGTTCTTTTTAAATGTGATTTGGGAATGATGAGGGAGTTGTTGGGGTCAGGGTTCAAAAAGAGCGGTGTGAGATTCTGGAATCACTGATTTGGGAGAATAAAGGGTGATAGGAGAAGGGAAAATCTATATTCCAAGTAACTTCCTGAACCCACCTCTCTAGATGGATACACCTTCTACTCAGTGTCCCAGGAGCGTTTCCTTGATGAGCTGGAAGACGAGGCTAAAGCTGCCAGAGCCCGAGCTCTTGCGAGGGCATCAGGACCCTGAATGGGCAGACGGGCATTATCTATCTCCAATCTGGTGGAGCCCCTTCACATGATGGATGATACCCCATGATCCTGTAGAAATTGCCTGCTCACAGTCTCACTGGCCTACTTACTGACTTTGGATCATGATTGAACCCAAGAGACTATGCATTTGGCCATTCTCAATGGAATCTTGTCCGTTTCCTATGCAGTGTGTACAGTGACTCCTTTTTGTTTTTTTCCTTGATTGAGCGTATACAACATTGGCTTTTCTCAAACTTTCTTTGTGGTTTAGCCTCCTTCACTTTCCAGAGGCCCAATTGTTTGGGGTGGGGGTGGCACTTCTGTGCAGTGTTAGAAGCTAAAGTGGAAAAGGTAAGGTCAAGTTAAGAATAATAAACTGAGTCATTTCTCCTGGAGCTATGCTGGGGTGGGGGGGCTGAGAAATGCATGGTACTTAATGCTGGAAAGCTCCATGGGCAGCAGTTACCACAGTGGCATTGCCTCAGGGAGCTGTAAATGTTTAACTAGAATCACTTTTTCCTGAGATCTTTCCGCCTGATTTAAGGGAGAGATCATTGGGCTGTTTGAGACTGAACCAGGTCTTAGGGGAAGGAAGGTCACTTTTCTGCCCTCTACCCTCAAGAACAAACTTACTCAAACTTTACTGCCTTTTCTTATCCTTAGGTAAATGGATGAAGGATGTGAGACAAAAAAAAACAAGCCTTGTCTTTTAATTTTCACTGGTACTGCCCTTTACAGGCTTAGGGTGGGATCTGAAGGGGATGTTAGCTTGGTCTAGTGGATCACTGACCTTGTAATTTCCTCATGACCTCTGTGGCAGGAAGCCTGCTCGGCAGCTTCCACTCTGCCTCCTATTGTGAAAGAGAGTCCCTTTAAATCCTCCCCTGACTCAGTGCACAAGACTTTGCCCCCAGTTCTAAAACATAACAGAGATTCAGTCCTTATTTCCAGCATTTTTTATTGGCTGCCACTAATTCTGATGTGAGCACACCACCTACACTCTTCCATCTGGGAGTGAGCCCTCTAGAAGCATCCGAGCTTGTGTGGGATTGCTTAGTGGTTGGCCTTTGGCTGGGGAGGGGTTGGAAATGAAGATGGTAGCTGTAGAACTGACACCTCCACAAAGCAAACAGTTGCCATGTTTGACTCATAAATAACAACTGCATTCTCCATGCAACCCTGGCTGTTTGCCCCTCAGTACTGAAGTCTTTCTTGCCGAGTTGAGTTGGTCAGAAAAGCATCAGGTTCAGAGAGCACAAGCACCATGTTGGGCCATGGTGTGGGGGGAGACAAATGGCTTCTGTTCTGAATTCACTGGAAGGAAAAAAAAAAAGCACTGAAGAAAACTTTAAGGTGAGAAGAAGGCAAAAGTGCTGCCAGTTACCATTCCCTGGGCTCTCCCTCCCTTGGGCCCACCCTCACCATCCTGCTAACATCCCCGGCGAATGTCACCCCTTTGCTTGCCCGCTGCTCCTGGGAGCCGGTGCTGCTGCCGCTCAGGGAGTTCCTTCTCATGATGCCTGGGAGCAGGATGGGGGACAGAGAGCACTAAGTGAGGGAAGGGCCAGTGAGAAGAGGGAGGCTAGTCCCCTAGGGCCTACAAGAAAACTGAATTGATAAGGAAGGGGTTTTGGGAAAGATGGAAACTGTGCAGCTGCAGTCTCACCAGGGCCTGGGGGCTCTGAGCGCTGCAGACTGTTGCGGCGCGAGGTAGGGAAACTGCCCTTGGAGAGGCGACGCTGGCGACTGGACAGCATAGCTGCCGGGGCCACAATACCAGGTGGGGGCTGCTTCCCAAGTCGGCTGTACAAGTCCTCAATTTCCTTTTTCTGTAGTGTCTGTAATGTTTCCACCTCTGACAAGTGCCTGAGGATGTACCAAGGGCATGAGAGAGCTCTCCCATGTTGTTCCTCCAAGTTCACCTGTTGCTCCACCATTCTCCCCAGACTCACTTCTGCCGAAGATTCTGCAGCTCCGCCCAGAATTCCTCATCTTCCCCACTGCTTTCTGACTCCTCACTGCTTAGACACAGGCTGCTGTAGGAGTAGTTCATCCACACTGGGCTGGGATGGATCAGGGGTGGGGGGCTGCCCCCAACTCGGGGTTCCTTCCCATCATCCCCTTCCTCCTCAACTCCATCCCCCAGACCCTCAGTTGCCCTGTCACTCTCCGCCAGAGCCTCCCTGGTCTCTGGCCCACTTCCAGCACCATCCTCTGTGTCTGAACTCTCTGAGGTCAGCTGAGGAGTTGGAAGCTTTACAGAACTGGAGAGAGTTGGGGATGTTGGTTGCAAGGAAAGAGGTTCCGTTGGTTCCTTAGATGAAGTCACATGGAAACGCCCAACAAGCTGTGGTTTTCCCTCTGCAGGAAGACAAGGAGAGAATGAAGACAGAGAAATCTGGTAGGATATAAAGCAGATTGGGAATAATGGGCAGGCAGAAGCCTCACCTTCAGAGATGGGTGCCAGTCTGGCTTCACCCAGGAGTGGCCAAGCAGGATTTGGGGAGGCCTACAAAGTGTGGGTTCATGAGGAGGGAAATGATCCAGAATGGAGACCCCCTAATCATCCCTCTTGATTTCCTACTTACCTCACTCTCCATCTCAGCTGCTTGAGGTGAAAGGCTCTCCTGGTCACAAGGAACAAGGGCAGTGGACAGGCTAGGCAGTGGATCAGGAGAGGCTGGAGGAGACTGGGAAAGGAGCCCCGGAGAGGGGGACAGCAGGGACTGGGCCACAGTCATCACAGCCAGAGAGAAGGCACTAGCCAGAGAGAGGAGAGGGGCTGCTGTAGTGGAGGGGAGGGGAGAAGGGGAGGGGCAGAGAGGAAAAGAAGGAGGATTAAGAGTGAGCTGGGAACAACTAGGAGAGAATGGGGGTGGAGAACTGGTGGAGAGAGAACTCAGAGGAAATGGAGAGGATGGAATTGGAAACTGGGATGCATTGGAGGAGAATGGAAGTGGAGAGCTGGGGGAGTGGAGAACGGGATTTGAGGAGACCTCGGAGAGTGGGAAAGGGCTAGGATGACACGGGGGAGAAATGATGGGGAAAATGGGACTTGGAAGGATGGGGGTTCCAGGGGAAAATGGGTTTCCAGGAGACAAGGGTGTTCCAGGAGAAGTGGAGAAGGTTGCCCAGCTTCTCTGTTCTGGGAAGGTGCTGTACTGGGGCTCTGCTGGGTGGGGAGAAGTAAGTGTTGCGATTCCAATCCCCCATGCCCTAGGTCCTTCCCAGAAGCAATCCTAAGAGTGGGATACACAGTACATACCAGTGGATGGGTCTGGGAAGGGGCCTGAGAGGGCAGGCAGTGGTGGTGGCTCCTCCTAAGGGGAAAAAAAGGTGTGGCACAGTCACAGTGGGGAAAGCTGAGTCTTAGATGGAAGGTTTCAGACTGGGATTTTTAAGCAAGGATCCATGAGCCTCTAGAGTCCAGACATGAGTTTCAAGGGATTCAAAAGTATGTGCTGAAATATTTAGGTGTAAAGGGGCATGAGGTCTGCAACTTACTTTCAGGTGGCTCAGAAGAAAATTATGTATATTTATATGTGCATATACATACATACAAACAGGGAGGGGAGAGAGGAGGAAAGAATGATAATGCTGATGTCATGAAACAAAAAATTGGCAAATTGCAAATTCTCTGAATAATTCTTGCAACTTTGAAAGTCTGAAATTATTTCAAAATAATGAGCTAAAAGAAAAGTATGCATTCAACACTTTTTTTTTTTAACAAGAGTCTATGGCTTTCATCATATTTTCAAATGGGGTAAGAGCCACTGTTCAAGGTCCCAGAGGTAAAGAGGAGTTAATCCAAGGGGACTGTGGAGGAAAGAGTAGTGAACTCTGGCAGAAAATCCATTCTTCCTGGAAATGTCCAGAAGGGCCTGACCTGGGGGCTTAGTGCATCTTCAGCAGACTCGGAGGGACCATTATCTCTCTTCAACAGGGTCTCTACTCGCTGGATAATCTCCCGAATCCGACTCAGGAATCCATCTCTCTCCGAAGGCAAAATGAACTCATTATACACCTAACAAGGGTTAATAGGATAGGAAGGATACTCATTATCTCACTCATCCCTGGCCCTTGCTCTTGCTCTTTAAAAACCAACCATTCACAGTGCCATTTCTGCCAACCACCAACCTAAAACAAGTATTTACCAATATCTATTATGTGACAGACTAACACTCAAAGGATGCATGTACTGTATATACAAGATGCCTTACATATATTATCACATTTAACACCAATAACTTTCTGAGGTCGGTATTAACATCCTCAGTTTAGAGTAAAGATAACCAGTGCTCAAACAGGTTGAATTCAGGCTGTCACAAGATTTGAACCCAGGTCTACTAACTAGAATCTGAGTTCTTTATTCTGTTGCCTGGCATGCTTTTGGACATAACTCCTGCCCTCTTAGGATTTATAAACTATATCACACAGGCTCACATACACACATATGACAAAGTGAAGTAGGAAATAAGGCAATAAATGGTAAATATCACATTCAACTCCACACATATTTAGTACCTACTACATGACATGCATTGTACTAGGTACAATGTAATACATGGAAACATGAAGCAAGGTCCTAATCGTGAGCCCAAAATCTAGTGGAGGGGACAAACAAACACAAAGGCTACTGCAAGTTAGCCTCATTGGTAAGGTGCTCATAGGTAAGCTGCTTATGAGTCTTTTCTTAGATAAGGACAGATAGAAACACTACCCTGCAGCTAAGGAGAGCTGTTTCATGGATGTTCCACAACAAAGTGAACATACCAAACATTACTGAACTGTACACTTAAAAATGGTTAAAATTGTAAATTTTATGTTGTATTTTTTTTTTACCACAATAAAAAGATGCTAGGGCTGGGGCTGGAGCTCAGTGGGAGAGCCCTTGTCTAGCATGTGTGAGGCACTGGGTTCAATTCTCAGCACCATATATAAATAAATAAAGTCTACTGACAACTAAAAAATATTTTTTTTAAAAAATGCCAAAAGTCTGTTATTTATCACCCTCCCCCAAATGTTATTCCCATGAGGGAACAGGTCACACAACCCTGGGAATGGGAGAACCTGGGACAACTTTTCGGAGTAAGTCTTTGGAGCTGAACTTTACTTTGTTGGAGTAAGAAAAGCAACTATTTTTTGAGCACCTACCATAAGTGGCCACTTCTCGTGCATTATATCATATCATATCAGAACATCTTTGCAAAATGAATATTACCACCTGATAAGCAAATGAGATTCAGAGAGGTAAAGAAACTTGCCCAAGGGACTGGTGATGTTAACTCAGTGGTAGAGCACTTGCCTAGCATGCACGAGGTCCTGGGTTAGAGAGAGACAGAGAGGGAGAGGGAAAGAAAGAGAAAAAAAACTTGCCCAAGTTCACCAAATTTCAACAGAGCTGAAATTTACACTGAAGTATTTACACAAAAGCCCACCCTTTGCCAGGCATGGAGGCACACACGTGTAATACCAGCAACTCAGGAGGCTGAGGCAGAAAAATTGCAAATTTGAGGCTAGTCTAGGCAACTTGGTGAGTCCTTGTCTCAAAATAAAAAATAAAAAGACTAGGGTGTGTCTCAGTGGTAGAACACCCCTGGGTTCAATCCCCCAGTGCCCAGGGTGGGAGCTTAGAGGGAGCAGGGGGAAAAGCTCCCCTTTCATCTGTTCCGCAGTTTAGGCAGAGAGAACAGTAAAACAGCTTTGAGGCATAAGCATGGCACATTCTTCAGATAGTGAGGACTCAAGCATAACTGAGCAAGCTGTAGATGTTAAAGGCCATGCTTTGTCATTTGGACCTTACTCTACAACCAAAGCAGCCACTAAAGATTTTGGAGTGAAAAGCAACAAGATCAGATCCAAGTCTCAGGAGAATTGGTAAGAAGAAAGTAGAGGGGAATTGATCTTGAGTTCAGGGGCAAGGTCACTTTAGTTGTATGTGGTCTGAGTGGGCATGAGAGCCTAGAAGAGAAGGCTGTTAACAGTGACAGGTACCTGAGCAGATGGAGCAGAGGCAGGAAGGCACCCAGCCTCTTTAGAGGACCACTCAAAAACCAGTGTGGTTTGCTGTGCATAGTGGTACATGCCTGTAATCCCAGTTACTCAAAAGACTGAGGCAAAAAGAATGCAAGTTTGAGGCCAGCCTGGGCAACTTAGCAAGACCCTGTCTCAAAATTTCAAAAAAGGGCTGGGGGTATAGCTCAGTAGTACAGAGTCCCTGGATTTACCCTGGTAGTACAGAAAAAGAAAAAGAAATCAGTAATGGCTGGAGGAAAGACTCTAGAAGGGGTAAGTGGCCTGATGGAAGAAGACAGACTTGTGTACAGGGTGACATTTTTCTTTTTCCTAGACACAGGTGAATGACATGATGAAGATGATTTATAGTTTCTGGAGCCTGACATTTCTCTTAATGCCTTCACTGCAACATCCCAGAAGCTTGTGTCTACCTACTCTATTCTATTGAAAATAGTCTCCCACAAAGACCTTCTCCTAAAAAAAAGCTAGTGTGGTCTTGCCTCAGCCTTCACCCTATGTCACTAGAAACTCTCCTCACTCAGATTTTACTAACATCTTCCTACCTCTTTGGCTCTATCTCCATGCCCTTTAATAACTTAGTTTCCCCCTTCTAGAACAGGTGGTATCCACTGAGATGCACTCAAGTCCTATATGTCTCTGACTTTGCAGGCCCATCTTTCTTCAATCTCAACTCTGTACTGATGACTTCTAAACCCACCTCTCATTCCAAAGCATACCTGTCCCCAGGAGAAAACTCACTGCGAGGGCCAGTCCAACCCATATCCTGTTGCTATGGAGGATCTTGTCTTGGCTATCACTCAAGCTCAATATAGCCCCTTAAAAGCCTGCTTTTAACACTCACTCTCTCTCTCTCTCTCTCTCTCTCTCTCTCTCTCTCTCTCTCTCTCTCTCTCTGACGGACAGATCAGTGAGCAACACAAAAAGTGGAAGGGGTTAGCAACTTCCAGTCTTTTAACACTCTCTCTCTCTCTCTCTCTCTCTCTCT